CTGTAAGAATAAACTCCTGTTTGTTAAGGCCATCCCATTTGTGGTATATTTCTTGTCAGAGCGGCACTAGGTAACCAGAACTCTATGCACATTCAAGTTGAAGTTGAAGACAACTAAAACAAGTCTTTGAGAGCCAAAATACAACCTTGATAAAATCCCTCCTGAATTTAGAGAACATTTAGAGAATAGATGCATTAATCACCAATGACCGAAAACCAGAGGAATTGTGGGATGACATCAAGAACATCATCCATGAAGAAAGCAAGAGGTCATTAGAAAAATAAGAAAGCACTGTTAGATAGGTAGAGATAAGTATTGATTTGGGTGAAGAGAAGGGCGTTGTACCAAATGTGAATGATCAACATGGTGGCATTGAGGAAGAGGAAGACATAGAGGGGTACATGCGAGGTGCAGACAACAAAGATGAACCCTTTTGCACATGCAGTACTGTGTTGTCCATGAAGGCAAACACAGGTATATGGATGGATAGATGGGTGGACAGGCTGAACTATTAGGTATGTCTTTGCAGTAGGGAGTGTATTCAAGACCATGTATAGGGTTGGCAGACAGTGGTTCTACAAGTGTATTTGTATGTTCTGTAAGAATTCCCAGGAGGATACACACTGGGAAGAGGTAACTATGGGGAGGAAGTGAGAGGGGAGCTGTTGCATTGTGGTAAACTGTGGTCAATGTCATGAGAGAAAGTATATGTAAACTGCTTTATGGAAAGTGAATTTGCTCTGTAAATCTTCACCCAAATCACAATAATAATAATAATAAAAGAATTCCCAGGGGGTATAGTAGAGCTAAGGAGCTCTGGTAGCATAGTGCCTAAGGCACTTTATTGCTAACCAGAAGGCTGGCGGTTCAAACCACCAGCCACTCCTCGGAAGGAAGGTTGGGCAATCTACTTCCGTAGCAATACCACCTTGGAAACCCAAGGAGGGGTCACTATGAGTCAGGACTGACTCAACAGCACATAAAAACAACAACAACGTAGTAGAGCTGACAAGGGACAAGGTTTTAGTCACTTCTTGGTCACAGCCAGCTACCCAGAGGGAGTAAGTAGTTGAACCTGTGAGCTTGGGACCATAGTCACAGGGAGACATCAAGCTCAATTGACGTATAATACTGCACAAAACATTGTTCCACCTCCTACTTTGGCGAGTAGCAACTGGGATTTTAAAAGCTTGCAAGCAGCCATCTAGATGCAAAGATGGATCTCTCCTCGTCCAGAGCAAAGAAGAATGAAGAAAACGAAAGATCATGGAAACACTTAGTCCTCACGACTGGTACACCATGTGATCTGCAGCCTATACGACTGTGAGACCAGAAGAACTAGGTGGTGCTCTGCTACCATTGTCAACCACTCAGAGGGGGATTTATGTAGAAAGTCCTGGATAGAGAGGGAGAACAATGTGGAACAAAACTTAAAAATCATTTGGGAAAAAAAAAAAAAGCGGGGGGACCAGGTTTGCTGGTCTGATAGAGCCTGGTGGAACCACTGAGACTATGGCCCCTAGCTGCCCTTCAGGTCTGGAATTGAACCCACACCTGTGGCTTCCTGCCAAACAAAAGACAGGCATAAGAGTTGAACATGTACCCAAGGTAGATATACTCCTTGGAGAGAACAATCATGGGAGAAAGAAGGGCTGTTTATGCACAAGGAGACAGTTCAGGGGGCAGGTGTGCATGGAGGGATGGACACAGGGAAGAGGTAACTATCGGGAGGAAGTGGGAGGGGAGCTGTTGCATGGGGTAAATTGTAGTCAATGTCATGAGACAATGTGTATGTGAACTGCTATATGAAAAGTGAATTCGCTCTGTAAACTTTCACCCAAATCACAATAAGAAAAAGGAAGAAAAGACCAAAATGGATGTCAGAAGAGACTCTGAAACTTGCCCTTGAGTGGAGAGTAGACAAAGCAAATGGAAGAAATAAAGATAAAAAAGTTGAACAGAAGATTTCAAAGAGCAGCTTGAGAAGACAAAGCCAATTACTATAATGAAATGTGCAAAGACCTGAAGTTAGAAAACCAAAAGGGAAGAACACATTTGGCATTTCTCAAGCTGAAAGAACTGAGGAAAAAATTTAAGCCTTGAGTTGCAACATTGAAAGAGTCTATGTGCAAATACTGAACAATGCAGTTTGAAACATCAAAAAAAGGTGGAAGGAATACGCAGAATCACTGTACCAAAAAGAACTAGTCAATGATCATCCATTTCAGGAGGTGGCATATGATCAAGAACCACTGGTATTGAAGAAAGAAGTCAAAACTGCACTGAAGGAATTGGCAAAGAGCAAAGCTCCAGGAATTAACGAAATACCCATTGAGATGTTTCAACAAATGCATGCCCCGCTGGAGGCATTCACTCAGTTATGCCAAGAGATTTAGAAGACAGCTACCTGGCCAACTGACTGGAAGAAATCCACACAGCCTGATGATCCCACAGCATGTGGAAATTATTGAACAATATCATTAATATCGCATGCAAGTAAAATCTTACTGGAGATAATTCAAAAATGGCTGCAGCAGTATATTGACAGCTTCCAGAAATGCAAGCTGGATTCAGAAGAGGACACAGAATGAGGAATATCATTGCTGATGTCAGATGGATCTTGGCTGAAAGCAAAGAAAGCCAGAAAGATGTTTACTTATGTTTTATTGACTATGCAAAAGCACTTGATTGTGTGGATCATAACCAATTATGAATAACGGTGAGAAGAATGGGAATTCCAGAACACTTGATTGTGCTCATGAGGAACCTATATATAGATCAAGAGGCTGTCATTCAAACAGAGCAAGGGGATACTGCATGGTTCAAAGTCATGAAAGGAGTGTGTCAAGGTTGTGTCCTTTCACCATACTTACTCAACTTGTACGTTGAGCACATAATCCGAGAAGCTGGATTATATGAAGAAGAACGTGGCATCAGGATTGGAGGAAGACTCATTAACTTGCAATACACAGATGACACAACTTTGCTTGCTGAAAGTGAGGATGACTTAAAGCACTTACTGATGAAGATTAGAGACTACAGTCTGCAGTATGGATTACACCTCAATATAAAGAAAACAAAAATCCTCACAACTGGTCCAATAAACAGCTTCATGATAAATGGAGAAAAGATTGACATTGTCAAAGACTTCATATTTGTTCTACAGTCAACAGCAGTGGAAGCAGCAGTCAAGACATCAGACAACGTATTGCATTAGGCAGATCTGCTGCAGAAGACCTCTTTCAAGTGATGAAGAACAAAGATGTCTCCTTGAAGACTAAGGTGCACCTAACCCAAGCCATGATATTTTAAGTCACCTCTTATGCATGTGCAAGCTGGACAGTGAATATGGAAGACTGAAGAAGAGTTCATGCTTTTGAGTTGTGGTGTTAGAGAAGAATGCTGAGAATACCATGGCCTGCTAAAAGGACTAACAAATCTGTCTTGGAAGAAGGGCAGCTTTGGAAGCAAGAATGGCCAGACTTCATCTCACCTACTTTGGTCATGTTGTCAGAAGGAACTATTCCCTGGAGAAGGATATCATGCTTGGTAAAGTGGAGGGTCAGCAAAGAAAGGGAAGGCCCTTGATGAGATGGATTGACACAGTGGCTGTAACAATGGGCTCAAGTATAGTAAGGATCATGAGGCTGGCACAGGACTGGGCAGTATTTTGTTCTGCTGTGCACAGGGTCGCTATGAGTCAGAGACAACTTGACGGCACCTAACAACAACATGTCTTTCTGACTAGTTTGACTCTTCAGTTCAGGAACTTATCAAGCACTGTTCCAAGCGTTAGGGATTGTGGTAGTTCAGTTTGTGTGTCAACTTGGCTGGGCCTGGTTGACTGGCTGGGCAACTGGATGTAGTATTCTCCACGATGAGACTGGTAATCAACTTCATGGAGGAATCTACTGGGAGCAGCTGAGTAGCTGCCTTGGGGAATGTGGTCTACTTCCTATATATAAGCAGAAGCCTTGGGGAATGGTCTTCAAGCTTATGGCATGCTTGGACCGTGCATGTAGCTGTGTCGTTGTTCAGCAGCCTGCCATGCTCTGCCAACCTGGGGCTTAGAATGGACTTAAATTAATGGCCTGCCATGTGGTTTGGTAACATCGGGACTGTGCCTTTTTACTTGTCAACCTTGGACTTGGCAGCCTCAGCCGCCAGCAGCTGTCTGAGTGAAGAAAAGCCTCTAGCTTCAGTGGGCCAGCAGCTGGAGGCAGAGCTGAAGCCCAAGGCTGAGGGGCTTTCACCCAGCCCCTAGACCTTGGCACTTTGAACTTGGACTTAAAGCCTCTAAACTGTCAGAGAATAATCTCCTGTTTGTTAAGACTATCCCATTTGTGGTATATTCCTGTCAGAGTGATACTAGGTAACCAGAACAGGGATAGAGCAGTGAGCAAAGACAAAAAAATCTCTGGCATTCAGTTTTACTTCATGTATTTACTTATATGTTTCACAGTGCTCAGAATTCATTGCTCGGTATTCCCAAGGTAGATATTCATTATTGAATCCATATTTAAAAGATAGTATCAAAGTAGTCTGTTTCTGTGTATATGCTACCTAATTTCTTTTTGGTACTGTACTTTTTCTAACTTGATGAAAAAAATTTTATACATTCAGATTAAACCAATCTCTCTTACTTAATTAGAAGTAATAAGGCCCCTTGATGTAATGAAATGTGTACCACGCTGGAGGAATCCAGAGTTCTAGTTTGATTCTACTGTCAATTAGTTAAATAGGTTTGCACGTACAGCTTTTACCCTCTCAGAGACTAAGTTTTCTCATATGTAAAATATCAAGGTTGATATCATTTAGTCCTGACAATTTTGAGTCTGAAAAGTGGGATAAAATTTTCCTTTAGCCTTTGAATAAATGTTGTAACTAAACCATCTAGTGCATTTACTTGAATGATTGGATACAAAATAGAGAGCTATCATTTTATGTTTCACTTGCACTATATTCAGTGACTAAGTATTTATCCCTTCTCTTTTACAGACTTGGGTCTGGATCAGTATATAATAAAACGCTTTGATGGAAAGGTGAGAGAACTATGATACTTGTGTATATGTCCTGTTGTTTGTTAAGATTTTAAAGTTCCTCTAGAATTATGTTGGACAGATTCCTGAATCCCTTTTGTTTATCTTATCCAAGAACTATATTGCTTAGTGTTAGGAGGCTTGTAGGGACCTTCAAATATTCTTACAGAAAAAACCAAGCAGAAGGTTGTTTTTTTTTTTTTTCCATATAAATATAGCTTGCCTGCTATATATCTCAAGGGCTAATCATGAATATAAGTGTATGTTGATATTTGAGTGTTAACTCAAGAGTTATCATAAAAATTAATAAGCCTTCAATTTTATATTTCTTGCAAAAGCACCTGTTTTCCTCAAACTTTCTGGTAATATACAGCAATAATCCTAACTAGAAAATTACAAAGGTCCTTGCTAGTGTTTATGAAAGAATTATGAAGACCATGCAGATTTTGCACATATATGTGCATTCTGTTTACTTATAGTTCTTTATTTCATACCTGAATACATTATAAAGCAAATCTTTCTTAGGTATAGAAAATGAGACTTTCACTTTGCTATCTCATAAAGCAGTCAGTCAAACATGTTTTTCCCTTTCAGGGTGAAATCTCCAAAAAGGAAAAGAAAGTGTTACAGAGGGTCAGAAAGACAGCTAAAGGGTCAATTTTAAAGTGGAGGAAGAAAGCACATCAGAAGGAAGAAAAAGTCAAGCGTGGCTTTACAAAGCTTAAAGTGGAGGCACTCAGAAGGAAAATCATGGAGTGGATGACAAAGGCAGGATCACAAAAGACGGTTTAGATGGGTAGAGGTCAGGGTTAGTGGAAACTGGTCTGGCAGGAATTGTTGATGCCAGAATCATTACATAAAACTCTTTAACAGTGGTAAAGTAAAGAGATGTGTGCTGAGCTCTTTACCACAAGTGGAAGGAATGAGTGGCTGCCTTAAAATATGAGAGTTCACAGCCATGGCTACCCACCTGAAAGTTATCTTTACTATTCAGGTAGCATAGTGCCTAAAATGCGTCCATCTGTGAGTGTCATCTTTTTGAAATGACATATTCTAAAACAAAGAATGGTCAAAAGAGAAAGGGCATTGAACTAGGTGTTAGAAGACCTAAGTGTAGACTCTTGGCTTGCCTTGGGTCACCACCTCAGATCCTTGGTGTCTCTACTGTATATACTTTAATGAGGGGTGACTGTAGATACTAAATGTCAATATATGATTTCAGAGTCTCTGGCAGGACAGGCTCTTATCTTATATGTCCTTGTGTCAGAGACTAGCATAGACCTAACTGGCACACAGGACATGACCAATAAATTTGACAACTTGCAGAAAATTAATCAATTAGTTAATCCCATGTTCCTTGGAAGCATGATTCATTAAGTCAGTGATACAGCAAAATTAACTTAAATCACCATTTTGATAACTTAAGGAATCCAAGACAGCATGAGAATTCAGTCTTCTATTATAGTATATATATTGTATATACTATATATATGTTGTTGTTGTTATTTGCCGTCAAGTCGGTCCCGACTCATAGTGACCCCTCCTTGGGTTTCCGAGGCAGTATCACTATGGAGGTAGGATTGCCCAGACTTCCTTCCGAGGAGTGGCTGGTGGGTTTGAACCGCCAGCCTTCTGGTTAGCAGTCAAGTGCCTTAGGCACTGTGCTACCAGAGCTCCTATACTATATATATATATATATGTATGTATATATACACACACACACACACACGTAAACTTGAAAATGTAAAAAGTTGCATAAATACAAATTAAGCAGCAGATTTACATATTATAAGAGGAATTTCCATTCCTAGAGATCCGTCAGATGTAAAATCTCTTAATAGTAACTCATGTTTCTTAGTGGTGATGGTGGTGTTGTTAGGTGCCATCAAATCATTTCCAACTCATAACAACCCTATAATCCTATGAACAAAACACTGCCCAATCCTGTGCCATCTCACAGTTGTTGCTATATTTGAGCCCATTGTTGCAGCCACTGTGTAAGTCCATCTTAGTAAGGGTCTTCCTCTTTTTCACTGACCCTCTACTTTACCAAGCATGATGTCCTTCTCCAGGGTCTGGTCCCTCTTGATAACATGTCCAAAGTATGTGAGACAAACTCTCTATCCTAGCTTCTAAGGAATGTTGTTGTTGTTGTTGTTAAGTGCCGTCGAGTCATTTCCGACTCATACCGACCCCATGCACAGCAGAACGAAACACTGCCCGATCCCACACCAGCCCCACAATCCCTGCTATACTTGAGCCCATCATTGCAGCCACCATGTCAATCCATCTCGTTGAAGGCCTCCCC